TATTTAAACAAACAGGAGCGCGGGGCTGCTCGTTTGCTGCGGGGCGGAGCTCTGCAGAGATGGGAGAATACAGGTCAGTGACTGGATGTGGAGCTGAATACGACTTGGAGCTAAGTCACTGACCTGATTCAAAGTTCAGTCCATTCGCGGAGAACACAGCTGAATCCAGGAGGGAGGTTTGACCGCAGTTGCGTCGGGCGATGCCCCCAGAGTTCCTAGAGAGCGAGCGGAGCGGGCGCCAGTCGACGCCGAGCAGCAACAGAGTCCAGAAGGGAAATCCAAGGCCGAAGTCAGAAGACAGTTCCAGGTTCAGAAGCCGGTAGAATCCAGGAAACAGATACGACAAACAGAGCAGACAGGGGGAAGGCAAAACTCGAGATCCACAGGACAGAAACTGGTCAAAATCAGGAAAACAAAACAGACTAAAGATTGCTAGGAAACGTCTCACCAAAACACTCAAATAACCTGGCGTTGATGGGAGGCAAACACACAACCTAAATAGTAGAGGAACCAGGTGGAAAAGATCGGCGATAATCAGCCACAGAACCAATTAGACAGGGAGCAAGGAGCAAAGAAAAAAACAAACCATCAGCGCTAAGATCATGACAGTTTTTGAAATTTTCTTTGTGTGTGTGTGTGTGATGGAGTGGTCCTTATGAGTGTCCCTGCTTCAACCTCCTTACAGCCCCCTTTGATGAGTTGACTGTTCTCTCTTGTTGGCCAAAGTCCACCTCGTGTGTCTTCAGGACAGCCAGACCGTATGCTGAGTTTTTCTCCTGCAGCTGTTTCTCTAGTGCTGCTGCCTGTGTACTATATATATATATTTTTAATTTTTCTGCACATCCTTGGCTTGGTCAACACGGTCAGGCAGCTCTGTGTTGTTGTGCCATATGCTATATGATCATACTTTTTGGACATTGGGAACCAGTTTCCAAATGTCCATATTTCATCTTAATAGATGACCAGAGGAGAACATGCAGCTTTGGTGAATAACAGCTGGGGGACTTCTGAAGCCCCCACTTTTCAGCCAAAGCAGTCACAGGCAAGTCACACGGAAGCCACCAGAGGTGTGAAAACCAACCCCCCTCTCTGTGAGGACAGAGCAAAACCACAGAGCACACAAGACTCTGCCCTTCCTTTTGACTCTTTTTGCTCCTGATCTTTACTGCCCCTGTGCTCAAAGCTGGGGTCCACCTCGGCTGGATCTCCACTACGGCAAAGATGCAGGCCCCGGGGGAACCAGATCCCCACAACCATCAAGGATAAGTCAGAACCTTTCAGAACCAAACTGCTGCAAAACAGACATTTT